GTCTTCAGGTTCGAGAGCCCAAGAGGCCGAGACGTGTTCCTTTCTCGGCCGCAATCGCAAGACGCAGAAGTCAGCCGCGCACCCCACGCAACATCAACAAATTTACTCCTCGGCCGAGCTCGGCCGACGAGTTGGCACACCCCGCATTCACCGAAGGACGTAGTTAGCTCATTAATTACTCGGCCTGAGCGCCACGTAGGCTTTGTAGTTTTTAGGGTCAACAGAATGTTAAAAGTACACGTTTGCCTGATATCGGATCCCATCCGGACCCAAAAGAACTGAGCTCACTCATCAAATTATTCGGATCATTGAAATTTGCTCTAACGGCTACAAACAAGAGACCCTTTAAAAATTATAATAATTGTAGTCGTTTGATCAAATTTCAATAGTCCGGATTATTTGATCATTAGGCTTAATTTCATTGGGTTCGAAGGGGATCCGGTTCCGTTTATCCCGCATATGTTATAAAATACATATAGCCCTTTCTTCGTTTCCTTAACAAACTACCAAGCATGTATGATGTGAATTAAGCTCAGAGTATTAATACGCTTTCTACTTCCAATTACGAGAGAGAGAGAGAGAGAGAGAGAGAGAGACCTGGATGTTCCCTAGTGAAGGTATCCCATATACTTGGTCCCTTTCCATGAACAAGAGCTGCTCCTTCAGACTATGCGTGGGAGAAAATATTTAGAAGAGATCATATATATAATTACACGTAGTGCTAGCTTTGCTCTCAATATGTCTGAAAGTAAATGTACTCACCTGATAAGCAGCTAAACCGGCTCCAAAGATGAACCCAGGTGGGAAGCTAGTTCGATTAAATGGCATCGAATAATGACTCGGTTCAACTTCCACAGCAGCACTTGCGAACAAAGCAAAAAGTACGAGGATGAAGCAAAAAGGAAGACGTCCTCCTTTAGTACCCAACATGTTTCTACAACTGGTTCTCTTCTGCCGCTCAAATGCATTGAACATTTTGGAATACTATCTTCAACCTCTCAAGTCTTATCATATACTATACAGAGAGAGAGCCCGGTAAGGATCCTCAGATCCTTATTCTTTTTAAAAGTTATAATAATTGTAATCGTTGAATCAAATTTTAAGAATTCGATTGACGGATTGAAAGGATTTGATGAAAATGATGTGAAAATATCTTTTTTTCATAAAGTTCAAAAATAATTGCGAACTGGGCACACTCCTACGTTATAAAAAGCCGTGCATGTTTCTCACGTGGACCTATTTTATATATATTATTAAAAAGTTAAAAGTAATTTAAATTGTCCCTGAAGCGGACAACTCATATTATTGGACAAGGATTGTCTGCCTTTCACTTATGGTGCCCTCCCCGTGCTTTTCTGTTTGTGTGGTCATGGTTAAGTCACGTCAACATTTTATATTACTATTCATTTTTTTCTTATTATATCTATAAAAAAAATAATATAAAATGTTGACGTGACTTAACTGTGATCAGATAAAACAGGAGGGCACGGGGAGGCACCGGAAGTGGAGGGCAGACAATCCTTGTCCCATATTATGGGCTGGGTTACGTACAATGAAAAGGCAAATTCCTCAATTAGACCATACTTCTACATACCGCAATGGCTGATTAGTCCTGAGGAAGAGGATCCTCTCTTAGGACCGTTCAAACTTAATTCAATGATTATAATTATTATAATTTTTAAAGAATCTTCTTATTTAAAACCGTTGAATTAAATTTGAACGGTCTGGATGATCTGATCAGAAGGATCCTCATCTTAAGCTCAGGAGAGGATCCTCTTCCCCCAATGGATCCATGCAAACATGCTAACCTGAACCATCCATTTGGCTGAGCACATCTCAAACCAATCGTATCCGATTCCATGGATCTTTTAGGCATTTTAATTACCATCACAACGAATAGGGAAGGAGGCTTAAGATCTTGTAAGCACTACATCAAGACTTTCATCATCGGGGACGGACCCGGTGTATGACACATTAACACTCAACGATATTCATCATGAACACGAGAAAATCGGAGCATTGATCTCTTAATTTTAGTTGAATGAAAACTTTGATCTTTAAGGGTATGTTTGTTGCACCAAACTATCTTGAACTAAACTGGACTAGTTTAGAATAGACTAAGCTAGACTGATTTAGTGAAATGTTTGGTGCAGTGACTGACTAAAAACAAGGTTCTAATATTATATTATGTAATCTATATCTATAATATTTTATTATTATTTAATATAATCTACTAATATTTAATATTAGTTATCATTTTCTGTTTTCTAGAATCATCTTCCACTTCCTCTATCTAAAGCTATTATCCTTTACTCCGCCCACGCGCAGTGTTATCCTCTCTCTCAGACAGAGCCAAGTGGAGAGGAGCAGGGCTGGCCCAGGTCCAGTGCAGGCAGGGCGACCGTCCGGGACCCAAAAAAATTAGGAGCACCAAAATTATTAGGGTGATATATTTATATATGTTTTTATAAGAGTATAAATTTATAAAATTTGGTTCAAAGACACAGAAATTTAACTAGAAGTGGTGGTTTATCATTTGAAAATAATGAGGAGGTCTTGAGTTCAAAACACCATGTGTGCTTATTTACTTTCCATTTTTTACAAATTTCTTTTTATAAGAGTATAAATTTATAAAATTTGGTTAAATGATTAAAAAGTTTAATTAGAAACAATGATTTTTGTTGTTTAAAATTAACAAGAGATCCTAAGTTCGAAATGTTATGTGCATGTTTATTCTTTTCAATTTTTACAAATTTTTGTTTGGTTGTTAATTTATTTTTAGTTACTATCTAGTAGCCATGTGGGTTGTTATTTTTAAATATTCGTTTTAATTCAAGTCTAATCTTCAACAAAGAATAATACGTAGACCAAATTTGCAAATTATATGACGTGTCATCAAAATGTTTAATTTAGTGCCCATTCATTAATAATACATATCAAATAAAGACTCAAAAACATCATTATTTTTTAGTCCCATATTAACAAGGTTAGTAAATAAAAAAAAAACACCTAACGATTTATTCAAGAACACATTCAAATTTCATATGGAAAACGAAACTCATCATCTATCTACTTGTAAGCCCGAAGTTTTTTTTTTTCCCTATCTACTTGTGGTTGCAGATGGAAGTGGGCGTCGGCCATGGTTGTCCGCCTACCAAGTTCTCTGTCTTTGTATACCGGCGAGGCCGGAGGTGAACGGACGATGGCAAGAGAAGAGAGAGAGCGCGACTTGATTATGGGTTCTCCGCGATTCAAAACGAACGGACGAAGAATAATTCTTTGTGTAACTTTTAAATTTTTTATGTCTGATTTTCCTCTTTAAACCTTTTTTTTGGACGGAAGTTCTAATCTAGAGTTACTCGAAAAGGATCAATGCTTCATTGTGACAAGTTTAGAGCCCAACACTCATGAAATTTTAGTTCATGGATCAATGTTCCAATTAGTCTCAAATTCATAGAACAATACTCCGATTTTCTTTAAAAAAAAATAAAGACCAGTGACTTGGAATGCATGAATGCTCTCAACAAGTGAGCTACAAGCCACTTGCTAAAAATAGACAAAGAAAATTGCAGCATAATTTATCATGTTGTGAATAATACGTGGATGACCTACATGTATAGTTTGTTACTATTTATGTACAGTATTTTCATTATTCATTTGTGGAAAATTTGTAAAGTGAATAGTGCTTTCTTTTGTTTATAAAAAGGAAGAAGAAAGGAAATGAATGTGAGAGACTCATGGGAGAGAGGAAGGAAAAGAAAGAAAGAAAAGAGAGGAAGGAAGAGGAGAGGAGATAATAGAGGGAGTTATCTTTGTACTCCTATTATTCCAGGTTATAATAAAAACATTGATGCTGCCCCGATGATGTACTCTAGTCACACTGACTGTAAAGGAACCTCGTAAATTTTGTGTCTTGTTTATTTATTCCATTGCACCCACTGTCGATTTTACAACAACCCCAAATTTTTTTTTTATTTATCTTCAAAGCTTGTAACTAGCAAGGGAAAGGGATCCTCTCTAGATTCCTTCCATCTCGTTCGGGGATTCAATCCATTAAAATTTGATTCAACGGCTAAAGTTATTATAATTTTTAGAGTGAGCTTCTGTTTGTTGGTATTAGATTAAATTTCAATGATCTGGATCTTTGAACTTGGTGGATTAGGACCAAGGGATCCTCTCTGGGTTTGGTCATCTCCCTATAGGGCGTCCCCCTCCCTCAACACCAACAAGGGTGCAATTATAAAATAAATCTTCAATCAATCAAGATTTAAGTCATGAGGTTTGTAATGCTTTGTGGTGCATTTCCAACTTTTGAGTCTAAAATTCCTCGGTGCTTTTGAAGATCCCTCATCGAAGCATAGGTTGAATTCGTTATAACTTCAACAGTTAAACTCCATTGACAGTATTAAAGAACTTAAAGAGCTTATACTAATTATTAAAAAAATAATCACTCATCTGATTTACTTAGCACCTTGTTTGGCAAAGTTAAACCGGAAATCACTAAGTCATTTATGATCATTGAGTAATAATTTAATCATCAACATCCACGTCATTTGGTTTAGAAATTTGGTCTCTCAAGTATTGCTCTGTCCATTTTGATCAGATTAACAAGACTTGTATCCTCGTGCAGGAGTGGACGAGTTTAATGATGGTAAGTTGATGAAATCGAAAGATCCTTTAACCATTAGCGATTGCTCTTTAGAAAATTTTGGCAGTCATGAAAACTCAGATCATGAGAGAGAGAGAGAGAGAGAGAGAGAGAGAGATTTATTTGTTAAAGAGTTAGTTGTCCTGCATCCATAACATGGATACTTGGTGGATTACTACCTAGCTAGATTTCTATTTTTCGATCTTTAACGACCATTAATTAGGTATGTCACCTGATAAACAGATGATACAGTCCCCGAGAAGCCCTCTAGGAAAATTGGAAAATTGGAAATCTTTGGATGAAGACTGTACAGGCCGACGCCAGACTGAAGTCCATCTAGTACTAGCACTACTACTACTACAAGGCAATAATATTTTGTCAAAAAAATATAATTGTACAATAGCTTTTGCTTCAAGTAAATTGGGGAAAGAAAGGACATTGCAACAAATATTACACATACATCATCCTCAAATCAGTGTATATCGGAGCCATACCGCATAGCGACAAATTGCCAGGAGCATTAGATTTGTCTGAATAAACCGATGCAAGGATATCCAACTTCTTAATTGCGCCAAGCTGAAGAAACTGGACTCCAGTCCTATTTGGACCGTGATTGTAATTGTATTGCCAGTAAAGCATCCCCAGAGTATCGACTTGGCATGCGGTAGGAGATGGACAAAACCTAGGTACACACGAAAGCCTCTTAAGATCTCAAATCAAGCAATCAAACGGTTCTAGCCAGTTGTTACTAGCTACTTAAGACAAAGAATAACTAGAACCGCAGAGTTGAATATCACCGAGAAACTAAAATGCAGTTGGCAGCAGAACTCTTAGCGATGCTCCTCTCAAAGTTCCCTCTTCTAATTCCTTTTTTGGGGAATCCTATCAAGTCCAATTATTCTAAAATTTCTCCCTCCTCTATGTCGTCATCTGCTAATAAGAACTTCCTGACACTCGAAAGATTTCTTTCTGCTACTCCTTCCTTGCTAAATTCGCCTTCCAAATCAAGAAAATCATCAGGATTAATTTCTGCCATAAGATCTGAGTACTCATCTATTAAGCCTTGATCAAAATCAAAGTCCATGTCTTCAAAAAGCACTTGCTTCTTAGCATCGGAGCTGGAATGTGAATCGTTGCCAGTTTCCACAGTTGTAGACAAAGGCCTAGCAAATGAATCAGTGAGTGGTTTCTCGCACCTCCTTTTATTAGAGATATGAGGTGGGGAACTTGAAGTCACATGTTTCATGAGATCAAAGACCTTAGGATAGCTGTTGTCTTCTTCTATTTCCTCCTCCTTAAAGTGAACACCTCCTGCGCTCAAATCATTTCTTCCATAAGTCTTAAGCTCTGGTTTGCCGAAAGTAGGAGGGGAATTTTTAACTACTTCAAAATCAAGACTCTGCGAAGGGAGAAAAACATAAATGACAGGGTATTCCAAAATAACTAAGTTTGCTAACTGCTGCCTTATCGGAACTCTTACATCCAACTCACAGAAAGGTGACCTAGCCCCCTGTAATAACATCCAAAAGATAAAATCAGAAACAATTATGGGGCAGTAGTTTTATATTTCTGAGAAAAATAATCAAAATACTACCAAAGCAGGTACAATAGGATTAAAAGGTCGTACCCAGTGCACAAGGCTCCCGCTTTACGCAGGGTTTGGGAGAGGTGAATGTCGGCTAGCCTTACCCCCATTTATGGAGAGGCTGCTCCCAAGTCTCGAACCCGAGACCTACCGCTCATGGGCGAAGGCACTTGCCATCGCACCAAGTGCGACAATAGGATTAAAAGTGAATTCTAATTTGACCCAATGAACAAAACTATTCGCCATACCATGTATAAATTGTGCTTGTGTACACACTTCTGTGATATTTACATTACTGCAAGAAAAGTGTGCATAGAAAAACCAAGCTAGTTGTAGGTTGCAACTTCAGCACCCATAGCAGGTGGAAAAAGCATAGGTAAGCCCAGAAGACTAAGAGGTGGTAAGAAAATGAAGTAACATCAGCAAAAGTGATGCTCAATCCATCTAACACAACGAAAGGTACAAAGAACATAATCGATAGCTTTTTCTTCAAAGTTCAAACTATCTTTTATCTTCTTTAAAGCTTTTCTTTTCTATCGATAACTTTTTCTTTCACTGTCCTTGTCACCATTTCCATATTTTCTACTCTCACTATCTTCTTGATTTTACAAAAGCTGCTTCCACATCTGGTTTACTATAAAAATTCCAATCATTCTTTTCATTTTCATGATTCTTCAAAGATTCCTGCACCTTAAGAATGATTTTCCTTTTTTATCAATTTAAAAGGAAAAAATATATATTAAGGCCTAGACTACGAAACAAAACTACAAACCTTCGGATATTTACGAACGAAAAGCTTGAGAGAGTCAAGCTGTTCCTCACAGAATAGCTTTAGGTGATGATTCCATGGCCCAGGTTTTAGATGGTTCTCAATAACAGAGCAGATGTTCATGTTTTCATTTACTCTGCACGAGCATCAATATGCATCAGTTATCAAAACACATGACCCAAGCCTAGACAAAGAAATTAAACATTACTAGACTTCTCAAAAAGCGAAGCAGCTTACTCATGGTCAATTAAAACAACATCCGTTGAATGAAATCGCCATTCAATTGTCCAGGAGATGCATTTCTTCCTGAAGCAGATCAGACCAACAGAAACAAATATATAAGAAAAGTAATGACCGATTCAAATCCTCCAAAACATGTTGGACCACTCACTATCATCTTTATTATAAGAGCGTATCTCAAATTATATACAGGACCAAGCAATAATCCGTCCCCCAAAGCTTTGATAAATTTTACCTTTGATCATATCGAGTTTGGTTTTCTCCCTTTTTGACATTCCACTTGGTAGAAATAAGAGTTTTGTCCTGCGACTGGCAGCAGCACTCCGAAGGCTTTTAAGGTAAAAGGGTAGCCTAAAATTATTGTATCTGCACAACTTATTTCTCAATCTCTGAGCAGACTCAGCAACCCTCTTCACTTCCTCTAGCAAATTGTAATCTAAAAACAGAATTGTCAATACAAATGCAATGGTTAAAATACGCGAGTACAAGTAGCAACCTTCACAATGCAATCTAAAACCCATACGCAAACGGACATCAAACCGATCCAGAAAAAAAATATGAATTTATATTCAAAAACCCCAAACGAGGTGCTCAAAAGTCAAAAGATTATGCAAAAAAATGGCAAAACTACCACGAAAAAACTGCAATCTGTCCATGAAAACATTCACAGTGAAAGAAAAAGCACTGAAATTTACCAAAAAGAAGTCAAATTTGCTTAACAAATGCATTCCCCACAGATAGAAACAATTGGAAAATCTAATTAAAAAAACTTAAAGGGGTCGAACTTAAATTCCAAATATCAAAGATAGGAATAAATTAGAAAAAGAGGGGACCTGAAAGGAGCTGATTGTCGTCGATCTGAGAGAGGGGGACGAAGCTCGTTTGGGGCCTCTTGCCCGTACAGCCAGTGCGAAGCTTGTGAGCTTTAACGCACGGAAGGCTGCAGGAGCGTACGGAGCAGCCTGGGCATTTGTACTTGGATGCTTTCTCTCTGCACTCTTCGCATACTTTGGGGTTTGGATTTGCTGTACCTGCTTCTCCTCCGCCTTTCTCCATGGGTCTTCTTTCACGCGCACTGACAGACACAAGGGGGTTTGGGGAAGGACCAGCACGGTAGGGTTTATGAAGTAGATCCTCACGACGTCGTTTCGTTGGATGTTGACTTTGACCTATTATACCCCACCCGCATGGAGGGGAGTCGGCGGGGATTTGGATCCTCTCTCTCCTGAGCTGAGCTAATAGAGTGGTCTGATCAAGTGTATGGGCCGTTGGATAAAAATTCAACGGTTACAAACAGGTTGGTCATTTTAAAGTTATAATAACTATAACCATTGAATGAAAATCCAACGGTCCATAACACTTGATCAGGAAGATCATCTCCATTAACTCAGGAGAGGATCCAAATCCGACGGGGAGCGGGTTAGTGATGTGCTATTCTATATTTTGGGCACAATAAAAAACATCTCCAAAGTCCCAACTCCTAACATGCCTCAAATCATTTTCTATTGAATATTGTGCTATACCAGCGTATTGATAACCTACAGACAAAAATTGAAGACGACATTAACGTTTCCTTCCACATCTTTTTTCTTCCTACATACTTAAACATTTCCTTCTGGGAGGACAATATGTAGACCACCAATAAAGCAACCCTAAATAAATAAACTTTCATTATCACGTCAATTTCGGTCATCATACATAAGTTGTTCTTTATGATTGAAGGATTTTTTTTTTTTTTTTTTTTTGCGGTTCAACCAGTCCCTACATCTCTATCCTGTCGTTCCCGTGTTCCTTGTCTTCTACCCCTTCGTCATGGCTGAAAGTTAATGTTGATGGGGCTCTCCATGGCTCAAACAAAATAGGGGACACAAGGGTGGTGTTTTGTGATAACAATGGTGAATTTATGGGGGGTTTTGTCCAATGATTTTCTTACATCTCCAGTTCGTATCATGTGGAGTTTTTGGCATTTAGGTAGGTCTTCGACTTGCTAATCCAGGCTGATCACATGTCTGACAGTCTTCCAATTTAATGACACATAGATTAACTCGTATGACTTTGTTTTTCAATTTGAATTCTTGTTGGTTTGATGAACAACCGGATTTAACTTGTGATGTTTTACTTATTGAATCTACTCATCTTTAAATGAACAAAGTTTTATCTTTTCAACCAAATAAAACATTTTTTTTATGTTAGTACTTGTTTAGTACAATTGATTTTTCTCATAACACAACATGAGTATTTTTTCTTTTTTAAACACAACCATAAAAAAATAACCCTTAAGTAATAGTTATACTAAAAGCCACAGTTTTAGTATAACTTTGGGTGAAGGATACACAACCAAAAGGTAAAGTTACACCAAAACTGTGGATAATGTGGCTAGCAAATTTTAGTGAAGGATGAGAGAATTTATCCCAAAGTTTAAACATTATACAATATTATTGATAAAGAAAACTATCATATAATATTAAAACTAGATATGTTGAAGGATACACAACCAAAAGGTAAAGTTACACCAAAACTGTGGATAATGTGGCTAGCAAATTTTAGTGAAGGATGAGAGAATTTATCCCAAAGTTTAAACATTATACAATATTATTGATAAAGAAAACTATCATATAATATTAAAACTAGATATGTTGAAGGATACACAACCAAAAGGTAAAGTTACACCAAAACTGTGGATAATGTGGCTAGCAAATTTTAGTGAAGGATGAGAGAATTTATCCCAAAGTTTAAACATTATACAATATTATTGATAAAGAAAACTACATATAATATTAAAACTAGATATGTTGAAATAGAAAAAAATATATATTCAAAATTGGTTAAAAGGTTTATTAATTGATTTGCACCATAAAATTGTTATTTAGTTTCACTTCACCTTTGAAATTGCTTTTGTCTCGCTTTACTTTATAAAACTGCTATTTTCGTCTCTTTAAGTCTCAATTCATCTTCATTTTCGTCATTCTATTAAATAAACGTTAAATTAAAAAGTAGTATGGACATTTTATTTTTGACATAACTCTTTGTCTCCAACTTGCCTACTAAAACAAATCCCTATAAGCAAACTAGAAGATGAGTACCCCACATCCGTCAATACATTTGCTATAAAGCAAGGTTTTAAAAGATTTTAGGCACTAGTGGGTTGTGGATTAGGGCCTAGCACCTAGGCAGTTAGGTGAGGACCTAGGTGAACTGAGCGGATTTAAATAAACTTATTATACATCATATAAATAAGTGTCTATTCATACTTAAAAAATACATAATTGTATTGAAATACATAAATTGAAAAATAAAGTGACATGTAGATTAGATAGTATTAGAACATATTGAAAATATGGGGAAACAAAATATAATGAGTGTTCATCAAAGTATTCAACAAGTCTGTTATAATTTATTAAAAAAATAAATGCACAAATAAAAGTTATTTATTTTCTATCTAAGTGAAAGTAGCGATCAAAGTGGGGGTTTAGGCGGGTTAGACAGATGCTTAAGCATGTCTGAGCGCACTTTTTTAATTTTCAAACGCTTAAAAATTAATCAAGGCGGTGGCCAACCACCTAATGCTTATGCGGGACTTAGGCAACACTAGGTGAAATTTTTTAGAATAGTGCTATAAAATTGTGTTTCTGATAAATGTGGCGAAAGAGATTCTAGAATCTACAAACAAGCTTTTGAATACTGTACACTACGTTTTGAAGTTACAAAGAAGGGATATAATGTCACATCCTGGCCGGACCCCTATCACATCCCAGACTCGACTCCCCCATAGCACGATATTGTTCGCTTTGGGCCTTGACCACGCCTTTATGGTTTTGTTTTTTGGAACTCACATGAGAACTTCCCAGTGGGTCACTCATCATGGGATTGCTTTCGTGCAAACTCGCTTAACTTCGGAGTTCCGATGGAACCCGAAGCTAGTGAGCTCCCAAAAGGCCTCGTGCTAAGTAAAGATGAGAATATACATATAAGGCTTATAGGATCCACTTCCCTGGGTGATGTGGGATGTCACAATCCACCCCCCTTAAGGGCCTGACGTCCTCGTCGGCACACTTCTAGCCAGGGATTGGTTCTGATACCAAATTGTCACATCCTGGCCCAGGCCCCCACCACATCCCGGGCTCGACTCCGCCGTAGCACGATATTGTCCGCTTTGTGCCCCGACCACGCCTTCATGGTTTTTTTCTGGGAACTCACACAAGAACTTTCCAGTGGGTCACCCATCATAGGATTGCTTTCGTGCTAACTTGCTTAACTTCGAAGTTCCTATGGAACCCGAAGCCAATGAGCTCCCAAAAGGTCTCGTGCTAGGTAGAAATGAGAATATACATATAAGGCATACGAGATTCACTCCCATGGGCGATGTGGGATGTCACATATAACACGGTTTATAACATCAATAAAGATTGTCAAATCTCGCTCCATTGAGAAGTCCCTTTAGACACTCTAAAGAAGATGTCAAATATGCCAAATAAGATTAAAAGACATTCAAGTGTTCTCCAATTGATATGACATATATGATGTGGCATGTAAGTCATTTGACTCCTTACTTTCTAACTTTTTTTTTAACAGCAAACAAAGAAAGAGTCAAATATATTTAATTTTATTTTTTAATACATGAGTCCCATTAACAACCGATAGAATATAAACTAAAACTAATTTTGATTATTTTTTAATAGTTAATGTAACTCTAGTCCCATTAAAATAATAAAATCAATATTTGACATATCCATTGTAAAAAAAGAAGATTTAACATTTGTATTCAATTTGCCATATCAGCCATCAAATAAAAATTTGACATACTATATTTGATATATCATTTGGAGATGCTCTTAGATTCATTGAGAAACCTCTTCAAATCTCACAACATCAATCAAGGGCTTTTGGCTACCCCTAAAAGTCCTAACACTCATTATTTTTAGAGAAACTAACTTAGACATCAGAGCAAGTCCACCCCTAAGGACTTTGCGCCAGCACCCAGCGCATTTATCCACTCGTGTGAACAGTAATAGACTGGAGTGAACAGTAATAGGCCAAGGCATCTCCACCCCTAAAAAAATGCGCTGGCACCCAACGCATTTATTTGGTGTGTTTTTTTTTTAGTTTATTTCAGATAAGATTTTTAACCAATTTCAGATAAAATTTCAAATAAACTTAAAAAAAAATACACACTAAAATAAAATTACATACTCATCAAATAAACTTTAAAAAAACACACTAAAATAAAATTACATAAACTCATCAAATAAACTATAAAAAAAAACACACTAAAATGAAATTACATAAACTCATCAAATACACTTTATTCTTCAACCACAAACTTTATTATTTATAGAAAAAATAACATAAAATTTTAAAAAAATTTATGTATTTTTTTAAAAATTTATGTATTTTTTAATATTTTTTCTGTATTTTTTTATAATTTTTAATATAGTTAATTAATATGGACTGTTGGATTTGAAAAATATTCAAATCCAAGAGCCAGGGAGTTGCCACGTGGCCACTTGTCCAGCTTCTTGGTCAGTCAGTTTTGAGCTGGGCCCCAGGCTGTTGCACGGGCTGGAGGTAATGGACAAAGTGCTGGGCTGTTTTTTGGACTGAGTGCTGGGCAATGTCCACTCCGGTGGACTTGCTCTAAAAAATCCTTTGGCTTCACCTTCTACCTTGTAAGGCTTAAGCCACTGATCAAATATGTTAATTATTTTGTAAATATATTTTTGTCAAGTTCAAAAACTGCAAAAATTCACTACTACAATGATATTTTTTTTTAAAATAAAAAATTCGAAGTCAATTTATTCTCTACTCATTGAGCATAAATATATTGGATATAAAAATTGAAAAAAAAAATTGAGCGAATAATTAGCTAAATTAACAAAAAGTACAACTAGAGAAAGAATCATGTTGACCAAAAATATTACGGAAATAAAAAAATTAAAAAAAAATGCTAAAAAGAAAAAATGAGAAGAAACTCGCAGTGGCAGTGATTTCTCCTCCGAAACCGACCGCCGCTAATTTCACTCTCTCTACTCTCCGAAACCCCACTACTCCACCTCCTCCAATTCTGTTTCCTGCAGAACATACAAGGAACACTCTTGAATCTTCCACGACGACGACCTTTTGCTGCGGCATCTTGCGGTGTCGTTTGGTGCTGTTCGGACC